TAAATACACAATTTTCTATCAGTAAGTTGCGGGCTTATTTCGGTCCCCCCTCGTAATGCGAGGAGGCCAGCAGGTAAGACACAGAAGGTAGGACATTTCCTGAGACCTCTGACCTGATTTTAACAAGTCACTGACGTGACAAAGTCCGGGTGGGGGAGGGATTAAAGAGCCAAAGACAAAAAAAAAAAAAAAAAGGAAAGAAAAAGAAAAAAGAAAAAAAAAGAGCGAACCAGACACAGCAACCCTTACTTCAGCGTAGAGACGACAGGCCGCTGGCAACTGGGGAGCTTGGAACGGGACTCGAGAGCGGCCTGGACAGAGCGGTCCTGGCACAGCGGCCGCACAGCCGCGTCAGCAGCACGCCGGCTGTTCTCAGGGGTGCGTTCGGACTCATCAGAAGGGAGATGTCCCCGTGCCTGGAATTTTCTTGAACTGTTCCCCATAAACGAGGGCAGTTGTCACCCCCGCGTCTAGCGGGCGGAGGAATGGGAGTTCAGTGTGCCCGCCTGCTTTTCTTTAGGTTGGAAAGTGTCCAGGATAAAAGTTTTAAACAATTTAATTACAGAAATTGCCCACCGACAAGGACGACATTTTCACAGCACAAAGTACACACGGAAATAAAAAAGCTGAAGTCCTTTGTCCCCCAGGCCCTCCCCGGAAGTCACCATTGGGGTGTATTTCACCGGTTTGTAATTTCTTACCTTTTCCCGCCAGAATCCGGGCTCCTGACGGTGGCCGACGAGACAGGAATCACCCCTCTGCCGGCACCCGAGACGACCGCAGAGTAGGAAGCTCCTTGAACAAACCGAGCGGCCTCCCCGCCCCCCGCCTCCGGCCCAGGCGGCTTTGCCTACCACCCTCACCCCAAACCGGCTCCCAGGTCCTGCTCATGGTCCCTCTCCCGCCTGTCCCACTCCAGCACGGGCACCTGCCACGAGGGACTGGGAATTGAGCTAAATCCACCCGCCCTGTGGCGTGGGGACCCAAGGGTGGGGGCTGCGTGGGAGGGCGGGGTGGGGTCGCACGTGGCCAGCTGACGGGCCACCTCAGGAGATTTCGGCAGCCTCTGACCTCCGTGTCAACCCCCCTCCCACGGGAGCGGCCCGCCTCTGTTCCTCTGAGGGCGCTCCCTCCGCTCCAAGGCAGCAGGGGGCTCTCTGGTGACAGAAGCCCAGGCCACAGCCGGGCAGGGCTGGCCCACGGCGGGCGGGGGGCCCTTTGAGGCTGCGGAACCGCAGGAAGTGACGCTCCGTCTCCGGTAAGCAGCTTCGGACGGGACGGATGAGATTAGCACAGGTTCGTTTTAGTATTTCGCCTTCCTGGGTGTCAGGAAGAAGACGAAAACTGTTTTCTTTGAAAACGAGCAACGTGAAAAACACTTAAAAAAATCACTGCCTGCGAAGGGGAAGCCCGGGGCTGGAGAGCGTGCTGTCTGCGCCGGTGCGTCACCGTCACCCCGACCACGCGGGGGCAGGAACGGGCATCTCTCTGATGGGAAAGTTCTCCCCCGAACGCGGCACCTGAGCCGCTGAGCGCCCAGCTGCCCGCAGGGGCCCCCGGGGGCAGGTGTGACTTCAGACGCATCTCCGCAGCCCGCTGCTGAGAAGTGAGAAGCGCGGTGCGTCGGGGGGGGGCGGCCCCCCGCCCCGGACTCCCCGCCCCCGCCCCCCGCCCCCCGGTCTCTCCTGAGGAGCCGGCACCTGGAACTCTCCACTCACACCGCCCCACCGGGGTGAGGACCAGACGCACACAGCACCTGCGCTCCGGGCCACCCAGGGCCGAGCAGATAGCGGCGTCCTCGTGGGACTGGGCTGGGCTGCATGCTATCCTCTGGGTGAGGACGCCGGTCTCTGCCTTATTTGAAAACCCCTTAAAAATACCGCTGCTGTTAAGCTTTTATTTCTGTGGTTGTATTATTTTTAACACAACTCGCTATTTTCAAGTCCCTGGGAGTGGCCGGAGAGGCCCGGCTCTCGGGACGAGCGGCCCCAGAGGGGTGGAAGGGGGGCCGGAGTGGGGGTCACAGCGAGGACGGGCTGGGCTTTGCCCTCCCCAGAGGAGGGGTCCATGTCCCCCCCTGGCTGGGCCTGGGCAGCGGGGAGGGGTCCGGGCTGGGCCAGAGCCTGCAGGTCCCATGCTGGACCCTCTGTCACTTTGCCCCGTTTGCCCCAGGGCACACGGAGGCCCACCCATGCTCCAGACCCAAGGGTGGCCCACTGGCAGCCGCCGCCCCCTGGTGGTGGTGCCAGGGAGAGCCGCTCCCCCGGGGGCTTGGCGGTTTGGCAGAAGGGAAGCGGCTCGGGCAGGGTCCTGCGGGAACCGTGTGGGAGCCCCGGCAACCAGGATGGAGCGGCTGGTGGGGAGGTGGAGGAGGAACGGGAGAAGGAAAGGGGGGTACAGGAAGAGAGAGAAGGCGCGAGGGCGAGGGGCGGGGCCCGAAGCTCTGGGAGTGGCCTGGCCTACAGGGGGCTACCAGCCTGCAGGGCGCTGGCGTCTCTGGGGAAGTGGGCTCCTCTCCCTCCTGCCCTCGGGCTCTGGGACCCAGGGATGGGTCTGCGTGTTCGACAAGCCGCTCTCCAGACTCGGGCCGGCCCCAGGCGCGGGGGTCTCTTCCCAGGAGCAGCTGAGTGACCCCCTGGCTTGACCCGTGAGTCGGTCGCACAGGTTCTGCGCAGCTTCTCCCCGGCCGGTGCCCTGCCGGGGGCTGGGGCGCCTGGGCAGCGCCCGCCCGCATCACCCGGCTGGGAGCTGCGGGTGTGGCCAGCAGAGGAAGCCGTGGGGCCTCGGCTCCAGCTCATTCTGGGGTTTCCAAAGAGCTCCCCGCCTGGGGCATCGCGGGGGCTCTGCCGGGCCTGGGAGGCTCGCGCTCCTCATCCTGCCCACAAAGCAGGCGGCGGGAAGAGGGGGCGTGTGGCCGGGCCTGGTCCCGGCCGGCCCAGGACCGAGGATGCGAGTCATGGGGGCCGCCCGGAGGGCAGGCCGGGGCAGGCCCTCCACTGTGGGCGCGGGCGAGGCGGGCGGGCAGCTCCCGGCCCCCAGGCCGCCACTGCTCTCAGAGGCCCGGCTGGGACGACCCTGCCCTGCCCCCTCCTCCTTACAGCAAAAACTCACTCAGAAAGTTTTCCCCAAGGCCCCCTCGCCGCTCCCAGCAAACCCATCCCGGACAGCCCCGCCCGCGAGGGTCCTCGAGGGAAACCTCCGGCCAGTGGCCTGGGAATCCCCAGCCCCCGCCTCCCCGCCAGCCCGCTGCACGCTGCGCACGGAGGCTGCTCTGCCTCCGGAGCCGCTCCTGACTCAAGCGCACTTCACAGCCCGCATGCCACCGCCCGAGTCAGGCCCTGTCACCCTGCCTGGGCGACTGTCTAGACGCAGTTTCCCTGTTCCCAAAACGCCCCCACGCGTGCCTCAGGGTGAGCTGGCCCGGAGCACCTCCGGGGTGCACAGTCGCTATTCCGTGGAACGACAGCGGCTTTGTGTGTCAACTTGGCGAGGCCCACGGTCCCCCCAGGGAGTTGGCTGAACGTTATTCTAGATGCTTCTGTGACGGCCTGTATTTTTTAGACGGGATTAACTTCGAAACAAACAGGAGATTACAAAACGCAGACCACCTTCCGGAACGCGGGTGGGCCTCCCCTCGCCCCCGCGGCTGAAGGCCGTGTTCCCGGAAGAAAGGCTGACCCGCGCTCACGGCCACTGGGGCCCAGGGAGGCTCGTCCTAGGGTCCCCAGCCCGCAGGCTCGCCCTGCAGGTCCTGAAACTGCCCGCGGTCCATTTCAGGATAAAAATCTCAAATCCTCCAGAGGGAAGGAGGGAGGGGTCACAGGCAAAAGAAGGGGAAGGGTCAAATCAGGAACCTGTACGAAGGACCCGTGGACAAAGCCAGAGAGCAGCAGGACTGAGGGTGGGAGGCTGGGGCGGGTGGGGCAGGGGAGAGCGGTGGCGGGAAAATGGAGGCAAATGTATCTGAACAATAAAAAAACCCCAAACCCTTAACCCCTCAGCTAGCCCCAGGGCTCTGCAGCTCCAGCGGCGCTTGGAGGAAGCCACCGCCGCGTGGAGGCAGGTGGCCGGACCTGGGCGTCGTGGCTGGAGCAGGGGTGAGCCTGTCCTCTCAGTGCACGGCCGGGACAACGCCCCCGCCCCCCGCCCCGGCGCGCCCCGGACAGCGGCCTTGCCTCCCGGGGGCCCCCTCCACCGCCCCCCGGCCCCGCCAGTGCGGCCTCCTCGCCCTCCACCTCCGGTTCCTGCCCCCGCCCCCCAACCCGAGATCCCTGCAGCTCTCAGCGCCTGCGGTCCACGGCCTTGAGCGTTTGTCCATCCGGTGCTTCCTTCTCAAACCTCCCCAATCGGCCGGGCTCTGCCTCCTGCGCCAGGCTCGCCCCCCGCCCCCACCCCTCCGCCGCCCCGGGTCCTGGCCCCGCCTTCGCGTTTGCTGCCGGTGCTTGATCCCTGTCTGGGGGGCGGGCAGGGGTCTACACCGAGGAATGAACCTGAACTAGTTTCTTGAGCAAATGAGAACGGGGGCGCGGAGCGCAGGAATGAATGATGGGCGGCTGGGCACGTGGCGCGCAGTGCGCAGCGGCGGGAGGAGGGCCGGGCTGCGGCGGCGGAGGGGAGGCGCAGCCGGCGCGCGGGGCGCGCGGGAGCGGGCAGGGGCGCGGCGCCCCCGCCGCCTCGGTGTGCTCGCCAGCCCCGGGGTCTCGGAAATGGAGCTGCCCGGTCAGGCCCGGCCGGGACGCGCGGACGAGGGCGGCGCGCGGCTGCAGGGGAGCCTCCTCCCGCCCGGGCCGCGGGAACCGGCCGCGCCGGGGGGGTCCCGCAGGCGGGCGCCCGAAATCGGGCGCAGGGGGACGGCCTCGTCCCTGGAACCAGGGCCTCTGCAGGCCGCCCATCCCCGCTGACACCCTCTCGCTTCGTACGCGGCCCCGCCCGACTCCGGGGTGGGACTCCGAGCCTGGTCGGGTGCCTTCCCCCCTCCTCCGCGCCTTGGTACGCCCCGGGGGACAGATGTCTTGGGATCTTTAACATTTGGGATGCTGCGAATGCCGAAGTTAACTGGAATACCTCCGGGGAGGGCGGGCCGGGGGGAGGCTCAGGGGGAGGGACAGCGGCCTGGACACGCGCGCCCTGCGGCTGCGGGGCCCGACCGGGGCGCGCGGGCGCGGGCGCGCGGCGCTGCGGCTCCGGGGGACAGGTAAGAGGGAAACGGGGGGCCGCGGCTGGGAGAGCGGGGGATCGGCCCCTGAACCCACCGTCCTGGGCCTTAGCGGAGGGGGCCCTCCCGGGGGTGGGGAAGGCCCCTCGAGGGGCGGGAATCCCGCGCTCCTACCCCACATGCCTGTTTCCAGCGCCTCCACCTTTCTTCTTGGACCCTCCCCGCGCCCTGGCTCCCCGGCCAGGTTCCGGGAAGCCCGAAAGCAGCCAGACAAAAGGAGCCAAGTCCCCGCCGCCGGGATGCGGAGGGCGCGGTGGGGGAGGGGAGCGGGTGGACAAAGGGGCTTTTAAGGAAAGTCCGGGGTTTGGTTTCGGGGCGCGTTCCGGTCCGGCCTAGGGTTCCCCGGTCCCAGCCACGCCACCATCGCTGGCCGGAGGCGAACACCTTTTCCAGCGGGAAGGGAGGCGAGGGAAGGAGGGAAACGGCGGAGGAAGGAGCCACCCCGCCCCCTCGGCCTGCGGGGTCCCGAGCCCTGCCCCTCTCGCTTCTCCGCAGCGGGCTGGGCGCTGACCGCCGATTGTTAATTCATTCGGCGGAGTTCCGGGCGCCCTGGGCGGCCCTGTGCTGGGCGCGGGGCGCGCAGAGTAGCACAGGCCCTGGCCAGTAAGGGCTTGCGTCTCGCGGACCCAAAGCAACTTAAAAGACCGAACTCAGCTCTGGAGGGTGCTTGGCCAAGGGGCCTGGAAGCTCTTCTGACGCGGGACTTTTCCCCAAGAAGGGACCCCCCCCTCCAAAGAAGCCAGTGTCCTCCTTTCAAAGATGTTTCCAAGTCTCTCATGCGACTTGAGAAAATTGCAGGTCCTCACCAGCTGCCCATCCTGGTGACCATGTTCCAGGTTTGGGGCCGGGTACCCACCTGTCCCCCGATCTGTGAGACTGACTGGGAGTGGGGTGCAGAACTCCAAGTCCCCAGCCAGCCGTGGAGTGCCCACCTGCCCTTGGTATTTTGAGGGGGACCTGGCCGTCTTGGAGGGTGGTTGGCTCTGAACCCCAGATTCTGCTGAGTTGGGAAATGCTGCCTGTGGATTTGGGGGCACAGGGGGCCTTTGAACTCAGAGGTGAGGGGTTGCCCGGAGGCGGGGCTCCAGGAGTGCCAGCACCTCTGGAGAGAGTTTAGGGGATTTGTAAACTTCGATGGAGAACGTGTTCACCACCTTTAGCAGAGACTGAGCCCTCAGCCAGGAAGGCGGGAAACAGCGGGCGTACCTGTGACTTTGCCATTGATAGAATCCCTGGGGAGCCCCATGTCCTGTTGCGCTGGTGGCTGCCTTGCAACATTGTCTGCACGCGTCGCTCCTGTGAAATTCCCCACTGATAGCGCCTGTACCACGTTAATGCACGGCTCTGTGCTTCTCCGTGTTCAGCACGGCATTTCAGCGTAACTGGCTCTTTCAATGATGCATCCAAACCTACTGCCGGGGCTGATTCTAGAAACTTCCATCCTCTCCCACCTGGAGCTGGGGGGAGGGTGTCAATTATGTGCAAAGTCGACTCCTCTCTGTTTGACGTTGCAAGAATGCGCAAACCTGTAGGGGGTGGGAGGGGGAGGGTTAGGGGGAGGGGAGGGCTTCCAGCTCCTGACCCAGGGCCGCCCCCTGTGGGGGCCCCTCAGCCTCAGCCTGGGCAGAGGAGGTGGTCAGCCTGGTGGGCGGGCGGGGGCTTGCATTGTTTGGAGAGAGGCTGCAGGAATGTGAGGCCGCGCTGTGTGTGCCTGTGGGGTGAGGGGTGCGGGGAGGGCTGGGGAGCTCTGTGGGCCCCACTGGAGGTGCCTGCTCTGCGGGAGGGGAGGAATCCTGAGCTGGGTCGAGGTGCTGGGATGGGGGCGTGGCAGAGAATGAGAGTGGGGGGCAGGGAGGAAGGTGTGTTACAGGACAGCGTCCATCCACGGGGCGTGAGCAGAGCCGAACACCAGGCACCGGGAACCATGGGGGAGCGGCCTTGGCTGCTGTGTTGATGAACGGCGCCGTCCAGGGAACAGGAAGCCGGTGCTCGGACACCCGGACTCCTCCATGGCGTGTAGGGTCCAGGTTCTATAGGAGGAAATCACAGGACTCGGGGAGGGGCCGATGTTCGGGGTCCCGCTGGGAGCCGATGGCTTCAAGGCGAGGTAGCAGTGACGGTTCTGGGGTCTGCCCCCCGCAACCCCGGTCTGGTTTCGGTCTGGAAAGCAGCCAGGGGCGCCGTCCACCTCGGGGCTGCGGAGCCCAGACCTAACTGAAGCCACGCTGTGACCTTTGGCCTGCGGAGGTTGGTCCTGTGACCCTTAGTCAGAGCCGGCTGCCTGCCGTCTTCTGGTGCCTCGGGGCGAGGAGGTGCTGCCGCGTTCCTGGGAAGGGCCGGGTCCCTGAGGGGCAGAGAGAGCCCGGTTTCTAGATGGTTTCTAGATTGAGGAGTTAAAACTGAGTTTAATCCGGGTCAGAAGGACCCTTGGTTTCAGGTGGCGGGGGAAGCTGGCCGGGGACAGGTGACCGGGGACCTTAGCTCTTGCTTTCTACCTGGAAACCGGCCAAAATTCAGGAGCGTCAGCCTGAGGGCCGGTGGGGTGGGAGGCCTGGAGGCTTGGTTCTTGTAGGAAACACGTTCCGCTTTGGTCTCGGTCCCCGTGCATTCGGGGAGTGGGCTTCGAGCCGGGGTCACCGTGCCCTCCCATGGAGGAGGGGACAGCACTGGGGTTCCGGCTGAGGGGAGACGTCTGGGACAGACAGCGGGGGCAGCCTGGTCTTCTTGGGGCCCCAGAGCCGTCCTGAGGACCTTAGCCCGATTTGGGGGACGGATCTCGGGTGTGGGGCCCAGCCCTGTTTGCGGGGGAATCTCCCGGCTGGTGCTCCCCGTGGACAGTGGCCCTTCGCCCCGCTGCTGGGGCCTGGGAGCCTCGAGCTCTGCAAAGGGAAACTGAGGTACGGGAGGGCGGCGACCTCCTGAGACAGGAGCCGGGGGCAGGGCCGGAGGCCCCGGGCCCTCCCCCCTCAGCGCCGGGGCACAGGGTCCTCGAGGCCACGGAGACCTGCTGCCTCCCTGCGGGGCCCCGGCGGGAGCCCCCTCCCTGCAGCCCGGAAGTGCAGAGGCCCGGGAGCAGCCGGGGCAGGGCCGCTCAGGGAGGGGCTCGCTCACCTGCTCCGCCCTCTGACTCAAGTCCCAACAAGCAACCTGGCTCCCCTGGCCCAGCCGCCGGGGAGGAGGGACGGACGCAGGGACGGAGGGACGCAGAGCTGAGGCCAGGCTGTGGCTCTGGTGGGGCGGCGTGAGGGCGGCGTGAGCCCAGGAGCCAGTCTGAGAGGGCACAGGGAGCCCCCCGGCGACATGTGACACCCTGGGCCCCTGACCCGGGAAGAGAGGCTGCGTCCGGACTCTGCACTCCGGGACTGACCGCAGACTCAGGTGAGGGTGGGACACGGGGCGGAGCTGGTCCCTGTGCGGCCGCGCCGTGGCCGGCACCTCAGCCTCCCGTCTCCTCCTGGCGTGGCCTGCGCTCCTCGCGCCGACGAGCAGCCTGCTGTTCCGAGGCCTCAGTTTCCACAGAAGGGGGTCACTGCACCGAGGTCCGGACTTGGCTTCGGGGCACCTCTGGGAAGGAAGGACGCCCGGCGGCTGGGCCTGCGGGACCCTGTGCGTTTCTCTCCGTCCCTCCTCGCCGCTCCTGTTCGCTGCCTTCCTCTGGGGACCTGGCTCAGCCGGGCCGGCGGCAGGGGGTTCCTGGGTTGGGGAGGCGCGGGTGTTCCCTAAACTGCCTCCAGCGAACCGCGGTGGCCAACCCTGCCCTCCTGGGTGGGCTCCGGGGCGGGTCCCCACTGGGAGCCGAGCCGCTGGGGCGGGGCCCGAGGGGGGCCCGTGGCCGGGGTGTGCCTGAGCCTGTGTCATCTGCACTGTGCCTGGGACAACGAGAGGCCCCGAGAGGCATGGTGGCTTCCCCAGGACGACGGGGGCTTGGTGTGGGGCCCCAGCCGGGGGCCTGCGCCCCGTACTCGGTGTGGGGCCGGGACCCCCGAGGGCCCGCGCCTCCCCTGCGGGGTGTGAGCGGGGCTGCCCGCTGAGCCCCCTGCTGAGCCCCCTCTGCGCCGGGCGGCACAGCTTCCCCAGGCAAATCCTTCCGGGTTAATGATTAGAGAGCAAGTGTGACTAACTCCGGATCGCTCCACCTCGCCCCGCCCTGCCCTGCGCCGCCACGACCACTGGAGAGGCAGGGTTGGGAACGATGGGGGGTGGCGGGACGCCCCCCCCTTCTCTCGGGTCTGTACAGGCCCCGCGGCAGCCTTTGCGTTTGGGGTCCTGCCTCGGCCTGCCCGGCAGAGCTGCGGTCTCCGGGCAGGCCGCTGCCCGCGCGCCGCGGCAAGTGTGGCACGCACGGGGGTCTGGAGAGGCTTCTCCCTTCTGCTCCCCTGTCTCCATGGGCACAGAGGGCAGCAGGAGGGCCCGCGCCCGTCTCTGCCTTGCTCTGGGCTGGCTTTCTCCAGGGGGGCCGACGGGGGGTGGACCCATGCCTCTGCCCGGGGTCCCGGGCCTGGGGGAGGCAGGAGGAGCCCCAGGCGGAACTCGGGAGGACGGACGGCTCTTGCTCAATGGGCTGACTCAGTGAGGTGCTGGGTTCTCCTCCCAGACGCCCGCCCGCGCCGCCCGCCTCCCCACCTCCGCCCCACTCTGTCCGTGGGGCCTCCCGTGGGTTTGGGGAGGGGAGGGGGCGGACAGCAGGTGCTGCCTTCCTGACAGGTGCCAGCTGGGCCAAGAGGCCCAGCTGGGACAGCCCCCGAGCCACCTCGCTCCCAAGCCCCGGGGAGGCAGAGGCGTGGCGGCCTTTCTGTCCCCAGGCGGCTTCTGCTCGAGCCACACTGTCCTCCGCGCCTTGCAGCCCTGACGCCCTCCTGGGGCTTGCCTGGCTGCGGGGGACGGGGATCCGGCCGACCTCCCCTCGAGGGGCCCCCTGGGCGTGGGTGGTGGCCTGGGAGTTGGTCCGGGGCTGCGGCACTGCGCTCTGGCCCCTGCTGGGGTGAGCACCCTGGCCGGGCGGCGGGGCAGCCTGGGCTCGGGGCCGGGGCCTTGGCTGAGTGCCCGGTGTCCAGCACCCAGCTCCTCGCCCGCTGGGCAGCAGGGTGGGCCTCACGCCTCCCGGGCTCTCTGCAGAGGGCGGCGAGCCCTGGGGGTGCGGCTGGACCCCACGCGGTCATCGCCCCCCCCGCGCGGTCCCTGTCCTTTTGCTCTTTCCCTACTGACCTGCTCCCCCGGGTCGGTGGTTCCTGTGGCCACCACTGCCGGCCACCGCCTTGGCGAGGGGACCCTCGGGGAAGGCGGAGCCGAGGGGACTGGGTGTGCTGGGCGGCCCACGGAGCCCGTGGCCCTGCGCGGAGAGCCCCCGAAACGCCCCTGCTCTCGGCCCGACTCCTCGGCTCTGTTCAGAGCCCGAGGGCTGACGAAACTTCTTCCGTTACTGTCTCTCTCAAGCTGGGGAAACGCGGGGCGGCCGGCCCGGCCCGGCCCAGGCTGGGGAGGGTGCCGCGCCTCCTTGCCGCGGCCCCCCGCCCGGCAGCCCGCCATGGAGGGGAAGGACGAGGCCAGCGACACCGACAGCGGCGTCATCCTGCAGTCGGGTGAGTGGCGCGGAGGCCGGAGCCCCCGGCCAGGGCCTGCGGGCGGAGACGCTCGGGGGAGGGCCGGGCAGTTCCCCGCTCTGCCCCCGCGGGCGCCGGCCTGGAGTCTGAGCCTGTCTGCAGCCAGCGATCGCTCAGACGGGAAGTCCCTCTGGTCGGGGCCTGAGCGGGGGGCCTGGGCTCGCCCGGCCCCGCGTGTCCGCCTGCCTGCCCGCGCTCCCCGGCGGGGCCCTGAGCGAGCGCCCTCCGCCCGCAGGCCCCGACAGCCCGGTGTCCCCGCTGAAGGAGCTGCGGGAGGTGCGGGAGGTGCGGGAGCTGACCCACGCCATGCGCAAGCAGCAGCAGGCCCTGGAGGAGCGCCTGGGGGCCTGCCTGCAGGAGCTGAGGGCGCTGTGTCTGCGCGAGGCGGTGAGGCTGGCCTGGCCGAGGGGCCTGGGGGCTGCGGGGCGGGGGGTCTGGGAGTGAGAAGCGCGCGTGGTGCCCGGCTCCCGGGTGCGGGTGCTGGACGGAGCGGGCAGAGGCGCGGCCTGGGGCAGGGGGTGCTGTGGGGCAGGAGAGTAAGGAGGCTGCGGGGGAAGGGGCCTGAGGACGCGGCGGCGGGGGTGGAGGTGGGTGGTGCCGTCCCACCGGTGGCCCGGGGCCTGGCTTGACCTGGCCTGACCCGGCCTCCCCGACAGGAGTTGACGGGCGTCTTGCCAGCCGACTACCCCCTCAAACCAGGGGAGAAGGCACCCAAAGTCCGCCGCAGGATCGGGGCCGCCTACAAGCTGGATGAGCAGGCTCTGCGCAGAGAGGTGAGGGTTCGGCCCCTGTCCCTGGGTCCCCAGAGGAGGGTCCTGAGCCAGGGCTTTGCGGTGCCGGGACGGTGCGCCGCCTCCTGCCTCCGGCGCTGGGCGGTCTCCCCTACGGGGCACCCACGAGGGTGTGGCCCAGGAGGCCGTGGGGACGGCGTGCCACCCCAGGGAGCAACAGCTGGCAACGCCAGGGAGGACGCAGCTGCGCCCCCCGGTGGGCAGAAGTCACTCGAGCTCGGCCATGGCCCAGCGAGGCGGCGGCCCGTTCGGAGAGGCTGCTCTGGCCCAGGACTGTCCTCCCTCCGGCAGGGAGGCGGCCCGGGTCCTCCTAGGAGCCCTTCCCGGAGCTGTGGGTTGTGACAGTTCCCCAGGGCTCGCCGGCCCAGCCCTTTGGGGTCAGGAGGAGGAGTGTCCCGTTTTGATGTCCCCACCCGCCGGGTGGGTCCCGGCCCTTTCCAGGCCGAGGGCTGGGCTCCTGGGCACCTCCCGGCCCCCCGTCCGTCGGCCGGAGGCTCAGGGCCAGGATCCAGAGTGCTGGGCCGGCTAACCTCTGCGTCCCGGCTCCCCGCCCCCGCCCCCGCAGGACCCCCTGAGCAGCCTGGAGCGTGAGCTGGCCCTGCAGCTGCAGATCGCGGAGGCGGCGCGGCGCCTGAGCCGGGAGGAGAAGCTGAGCCGCCAGGCCCGCCGGCAGCGGAAGCACGCCGTGCTGCGCGAGGAGGAGAAGCTGCGGGCGCTGGAGCGCTGCCTGGGCGAGCAGAGGCGCCACCGCGCGTCCCTCCCCGCCGCCGCGCCGCCCCTGGGCCACGGTGTGTCTGCGTCCCCCTGAGCTCAGGCGGTGGGGGGTGGGGGGCGCTGCCGCCGCCCTGAGCCCACCTGCCTGTCCCCCCGCAAGCCTCGGCGAGGCCCGGTCCCCCAGCCCCCTAGAGAGCACCCCTTCTTTTCCTTCCACATCAAAGCCCACCGCCCCCCGGACGACCCCCGGACAGAAGGCACCGCCAGGCTGACCGTGGGCCGGTGCCCGGGGTTCTCGCCTTCCTACCCCCGGCCCGAGTGCGGCCGCCCAGCACCGTGCCCTTTCGCGGCGGATTTCGGGGCCCAGGGCTGCCTGGGCGGGTCAGCGTGGGGTCCGGTCCCGCCACTGCCCCGCCCCACCGTCCCTTTCCCTTCTAGACCCACCTGGCCAACAGCGCCCCCTCCCCCTGTCCGTTCACGTCCCTCAGGCTCACGGCCAGGGGCTGGTGGCTGTGGGGCGCCCAGCGAGTTGTCTGGGTCCCTGACCAGCCGTCTGTGGTTCGGCCGTGAGGGGACTGCAGGAGGGCTTGGGGGCGGCCCTGGGCGCAGCTGGGTTCCTGGCGGGGTCCGGGCCGGGACTGTGGCCGATCGTCCCTGCCCCTGCCCTTCAGTCCGGTTGGGGGCTGGCTCTTTCTCAGGTTGGGACCCTGCGGGGAATAGCCCGAGCTCTTCCCGCTCCGCCTCGTGGCCGGTGCCTCGGGCAGTGGCCATCCCGCGCCCCCGGTCGTCTGCTTTAGTAGAAAGGGTGTGACCAGACGCCTCCCACAGCAGCGGGAGCGGAGGCCGCGGTGGGAGGCTGACCCAGGAGCCCCAGAGGCGGGCAGTGACCCAGGCTCGGGGCCCGACGTCTCTGGCTGAAGGCTGTGACCTGCACTGGGACCCTGCTGTCCCCGGGGCTCCAAGGGAGGCGGCGTGTCCCCCGAAAGGCTCTGCTGAGACCACGGGACCCCAGCTCGGCGCCGGGAGGAGCCGGGGAGGCAGGCGGCGCCTCCGTGCGGCTCAGCCCATCTGGGTCCTCAGCGGCCTCCTGCCCACGGGTCTGCAGCTGCTGGGGTGGCAGAGGGGGTGGGGGTGTCGCTGCTGCTACCATTGGTGATGCTGCTTGTTGGGAGTGGGGGGCCAGGCCAGGACGCGCGTGGGGTCTTGTTCACACGGTGGGAGGCAGGAAGCTCTGCAAGCTTCTCGGCTCTGAAGGAGCCGCCAGCGCGGCGGCTGCCTGTCCCCTCTAACCAGAAGAGCCCTCGCTCCCCACTTTCAAGCCCTGGCTCGTCGTGGCCCCAGGTCCTGGGTTCCAGCGTCCGGGGCGAGGCCCGGGTCTCCGCTGCACCGCAGTGCCCGGCTGGGTCTGCCCTGCCCGCCCACGTCTGCTCCCTGGGGCTGAAAGCGTTGGGAACAGAAAGAAAAAGAGCAAACAAACCAAAAGGGAAAAAGAAGTAGCCAGCCCCTGCCCCGGGGGCTTTATCTCCCGGGTCCCACCCCTGCGGGGAGGCAGGTGGGAGTAATTAGCTGGTGCTCTGTGGGGGGGCAGCGGCGGATTCCCCAGGTGGGCGGGGGCGCGGTCGCTGCTGGCAGCCTCGCAGCCAGGTGTGGACGTGGTGTGCACCCGCCGGCCTGTCCACCATGGGGACCACTGGCCACGTGGGCTCTGCGGCCCAGGCCGTGTGCCTGTGTCACTGAGGAACTGAATTTATTTTATGCCGTTTGCATCAGAATAGCCCCACGTGGCTTGTGGCCTCAGGTCGGCCTGCAGCTCTCGAAGGACTTGCGGTTTGGGAGGTGCTGGCCGCAGGCCCCTCCCCCTGGCTGTGCAGTGGGCGCCCTGGGCCGAGGGCAGGGGCGGGAGCCCGTGGGGGGCAGCGTGGCCGAGCTGTGCCCGACCCACCCCCGCCTCCTCCACGCCGGTGACGTTCGGCCCAGGACCGCCGACCCGCTGCTTGTCTTTGTGAAGATGGGGGTGACGAGAGTGGGTGTCTTTCTTCCCAAACCAAAACCAAAGCGCGTGACTCCGTCCCCAGGACGGCAACAGCCCCCATTTCTTCAACCTGACACTCGCAAAAAAAGATCTCTCCCCTTACAAAAGGGCGCAGGCAGGCGGCCAGGCTTCATTCAGAGGGCGTCCCTTCGAGGGGGACCCCCAATGAAGGCGGGCGGGGGCCGCGCACGGTCGGCCCGGCTCCCGCAGCAGGACCGCCCCATGGGGTGCACAGCGCGGGGCCCCAGCCCCTTCCGGCCGAGTAGCCCGGGGGAGCCGTCACGGTGGCTCCGTGACCCTGCCTACGCAGCCCGGGCGGCCGGGCATCGCGTGAACGGATCCGTAGCCGCGTTTCAATAAACCTTTATCGATGAAGCAGCCCTTGAGCCAGAGTTGGCCGCGGGCTGTCGCTTGCCCGCCGCTGTTGTGAAGAATTTTGAGGCGGCTGGATGGTTACCTTTCGGGCTTTCTGGGTAACGACCCGGGCGTGTGGTCCAGCCAGCGGCAGGCGGACTGTGGGCTGGGATTCCCACCCGCCGCACGGCGCCGCTCCCACGAGCCTCGGGGTCCTCGCCCGCCGCCTGGAGGGGCTCGGAGCGCGGACCTTGGAGGCTGCTGGGAGAAGCCGTGAACCGGTACAGCCAGGGCCTGATTATTGGCCCGATGGGAATGCTAGTGTCGGTCCCTTTTCCCTCCTCCTTGTCCTCAAGCCTCGTTGCAGACACGTAGCGAGGCCCGTCCGGCCCCGCGAGGCAGGTTCTCCCTCTCAGAACCTTCCGGGTTCCGCAGGGCAGGGGCCGGCCCAGGCCCCTCTGCTTTGCCGGGGCCCGGCTGTGCTGGTCACTGGGGCGACCCCGCCTTGCCGCGGCTCCCCGCGGTGGTGCAGGACTTCCCCGACGACGTAGACTTGCGTGTGTGGGGGCCGAAGGCCGCAGGGGCGTTGGCCAAGTTCCTCCGCGAGCGCCCCGGGCCTTCTGGAGCTCTCCTTCCGCCTGCCAGCACACCCTGGCTGTCTGGGACGGAGCGGGGAACCGAGGCCCGCGGCATTGCTACGCCTCACCCGTGGCTGCAAAACGAACGTCAGCCGGGAGGAAAATCAGGTTTCCTGATTCTGGCTTCTAACTTCTGGGTTTTTGTCTGTTTCCAAGGAATAAATTCACCGCCGGTTCGGTACCTAAGCGCAGCGGGCCCCTCCGGCTAGGGCTTCGCGGGGCGGGGCGGGGCCCGCGCCTGCGACCTTTCCTCACCTCCGCCCCTCTCTCCCCAGAGCTCTGCGCCTCGGACGACAGCTCCCTGTCGGATGCGCTGCTCCCGGAGGAAGGTGAGGAGGCCGGGCAGGGACGCTCGTCAGGCTGCCTCCTGTGGCCAGACCCTGGGGCGCGGGCGGAGTTTGCGGGCCAGGACGTCACGGGAGCCGGCTTTCAGCAGCTGGTGGGTGCGGCTGCCCTCCTGCCGAGGCCGGTGTCTCGGTGTCTCAGTGCTGCTGCCTGTGCTCCGTGGGCGTGGGGACACGCGGCGCCTTTCCCTCCTAGGTGCTGGGTCCCTGTGCCAGGGAAGGGAAGGGAAGGATGCGTTCCAGCCGGGCCCCTGGCCCCCCTGCCTCAGCACTGGGCCTTTAGTTCAGTGTGCACCTGTCAGAGCCCACGGGCAATCTGGCCAAGCCGTTGCGCGTGGCGAGTAGAGAGTGCAGTCCTGGCTGAGAGCCCTGCGGACAGAGCCTGAGGATGTCGGGGGTCAAGGCAGCTGAGACGGGGGCAGCCCTGCCCCGGGGAGTGCCCTGGCCGATGAGGAAACAGGGCGGGAGGGTGCGGAGCCAGGCAGGCAGACGGCTCGCTGCCGGCACGGCAGCAGGAGCAAAGGTTAGGGGTGAGGGGGTGTGAGAGCCGGGGAGAGTTGACTGGGGCAGGCTTCTCGGAGGAGGCAGGCGTCCAGCGGGCTGAGGCCGGGATTAAGCCCCAAAGGAGGAGAAGGCGTTTGCGTTTTGGACGACTGGGCCCGAGCCGCCGCCCGGCCCAACTGGACAAGCAGCCGTGGGCGGCCCGTTCCTGCCGGGCCGGTTCCTCAGCCGCTGCCTTCACAGGCCTCTCCACTCCTGCAGAGGAGGCCCCGGTGCCGAAACCCGCCACGGAGTCCCCGCCCCGGAGCCTGGAGGGACTGCAGCCCGCAGGGCCCGAGACGGGGGGCCTGGACCCGGCCCCCATCCAGAACGGCCCCTGGAAGGAGACCAGCCTGGACCAGCCCTACGAGAAGCCGGGGAAGACTTCGGACCCCAGTAGCGAGTCCAGGTCAGGGAGGGGAGCGGGGCTGGGGGGGCCTGCCGGGGGCCGCCCTGTCCCCCGCTGTGTGCTGCGGGGCTCAGGGGCTGTTGCTAGCGCAGTGCGAGCCCTGGGGGGCAGCGTCTTGCCCTGACCCGCCCCCATTCCTACTGCAGCAGCCCGGCCACCGTGCCGCACGAGTGGCCTGCCCCCTGCCACGTGGTCCCTGTCCGCAGCGTCCCTGGCCAGCGGCAGGGCCGGACCAGCGCGCCCACCACGCCGGACATGCAAGGGAAGAGAGCCCAGTCGCAGTCTCTGAGGTAACGGACGGCCCTCCCCGGAGGCACGGGGCGGGGGGCGCACCGTGGAGCCCGCGCGCTGCCGCGTGGTGGCACTGAGGAGGTACAGGCAGGCGCCCGGGGGTGGCGCTGGCCCGTGCCCGCTCGGGGACCCTCCCGCAGAGGCGGCGCCACGGGCACAAAGCCTTTCTCCTCCCAAGACTCCAGCTCCGCCTTCCGGCGCGAGTCTCCCCGCCTCGCCGCGGTTTCGCGGCGCCGGAGTGCGGGAGCTGGTGGGCGCTGACAGCGTGCAGCCGGTTCTCACTGGTTTGGGTAGTTCAGCGTCCCGTGAAGTTGCTACGGAAACCGAATTCGCACACCCCGGGTCGTTGCCCCTGAGAAGGGGCGTTAGGTCCCTGCCAGCTTCTGCCCACGCGTCTGCGTCAGCCGGCACACGGGACCTTGTTTCCGGGGATTTTCTGTTGCAGGTGCCATAGTTAACATGGGTCGTTGGCTTAGGAACACGGAACTCACGTCCCGATGAACGAAGCTCGTTACTGCGTTCGGGGTGGGCAAAAGCACGTTTCCGGCGCTAGTGCCCGGGCCGCCGTCCTGCCAGGCCTGGCCGCCCCCCCGCCCCCGTCCTCGGGCTCAGGATGTCTGTCTGTCTGTCCTCCCCCTCCCCCAGGATGGACTCCTTCCGGGCAGGCCCCCGCCGCCGCCCCACGCACTACACGGTGACGGTGCCCAGCTCCTGCTGGCCCCCGCGCGGGGCCCCGCGGCCGCCCCCCGCGCCCCGCGGCTGCTCCGAGGACAGCGGCTCGGACGGCTCCAGCGTGTCGCACGCCACCCCCCCCGGCGGCAGCAGCCCCGACATCTACACCCTGCAGCCGCTGTCCCCGCCCAGGGCGCCCGGCTGCCACGGGGCCTGGGGCCCGGACACCCCCCGGCCGTCGCTGCTGCCGCTGCCGCCGCCGCCCGGGCCCTTCCCGGCCGAGCTGTACATGCTGGTGACCGAGGGCCGCCTGCCGCCCGGCGAGCGGAGCCGCGTGACCCTGGAGGAGGAGCGGCTGGCGCTGCGCCTCCAGCAGCTGCAGCAGCTGCAGCAGCACGTGCGCCCCCGTGGCCGCCCGGCGCGCGCGCCCTCCCTCAAGGACAGCCCCACCGGCCGCGCGCTCTGCAGGGCGGCCGTCAGCCAGGAGCTGCAGTGCTGGCACGAGCGAGCCCGCCTGCGGAGCGCGCGCCCCCACTCGCTGGACCGCCAGGGCGCCTTCCGCGTGCGCAGCCTGCCCCTGGGGCGGTCCCTGGGGCCCCGGACGCAGGTGAGGGTCACCGGGCCTTCCCGCCGGAGGGGGGGAGCCCGTCGCGCAGGCCCGAGGGTCGAGTGAAAAATACTCCCGCAGCCTGGGGGCCGGGGGATCCCAGCTGCGAAGGACAGGCCCAAACCATCGCCTCTGGGCGCTGGGGGGCACCCGAGTCCCCGGCCGTGTGTCCGGCTCCCGCGCACAAGCCCATGTGCGCGCGGGAGAGGGTCCCCCCGAGCGCAGAGGCCTCGCCAAAGTCTGGCCACATTAACCCCCGAGCTGTCCCGGCTCGAGGGGCCGGGACAAGGGGAGAGTCGGGAAAAGGGTCCACAGGGGCCGGAGCCTGGGAGGCTCCCCGCTCGGCCCTGCCATGCCCGGGCCGTGGGCCGGCGGGGGGGGGCTCCTCCCCGCCTCCTACGCCCTCGGAGAAGGGGGAGGTAAGCAGGCGTTATCCCAGACCGCCGAGGACTTGTCACGACTGCGCGTAAAGTGACTAGGGGGAGCGTGGTAAGCGCCGGACAGCTGGCCTCGGGCCAGGCTGGGCGGCCGGAGGCCTGTGATGCTGGGGCGGCCGCCAGGGCTCTGCGGCCGGTTTCTCCCCTCCGAAGGGGGGGCAGCGGCCACGAGCGCGTGCTGTTTCCGCTGGGACTGAGGGCTCCTGACGGTCCACCGGCTGCTTCCCTGACGCCCGAGGTGTCACCTGCAGCCCAGCGGGACGTGGCGGTCCCCTCCTTCCGCCGCTTTGGGCCCGGCACCAGCCGCCCCGTCCTGGGCCGCACCCTCCTCCCTTCCCCTCCTGCAGGCTCGGACCTGTCCTCGGCCCCGGGCCCAGCCCGTCCCAACCTGTCAGACGGGGAGGGTGGAGAGAGGGGAGCCCAGGAAAGGCGGGTAGGAGGTCAGAGCTCCCGGCGCGGCCCGAAGGCCGCCGGCGGGGAAAGCGGGGGAGGGTGGTCCCTGGGGGAACAGTGGCCTCCCCAGGTGGGGGGCCGGGGCTGCTACCACTTGGGGGCCTTCGGGGCTTGGTGCCCCGGGCAGGCCACGGGGCCGCCCCGCTGGGCCCAGTCTGCTTACCCTCCCGCCTCTGCTCCGACCCTGGCAGGTGCCGGCTGTGTGTGTGCTCCGCAGATCGCCCGAGGGGGCCCCCGTGCAAGTCTTCGTGCCTGAGAACGGGGAGATCATCAGCCAGGTGTAGCCGTGGCCGGGGCGCCCCGTGCCCCCCGCGCCGCGCCCCAGCGGGGCTCGGGCCGCCGCCACCGCCTGTGCCTTCCGCAGCTCCCCGTCCCGTCGCCGGCCGATGGCCTGGAGCTGAGACTTCCTTTTTTTTTTTTTACCAGTTTTTGTTCAGAAGTCCTGGTCTGTGGATTTACATTGTCACTCGCCCTCGAGACCCCTGTCACAGGGCGAGGCGTTGCTCCTCGGAGACTGGCCGGCTGGACCCGGGGCCTCCCTTGGCGGTGGGACTGGCGGCGTGTCTCCTCGGGCAGCCCGCGTGGTGGGACGGCCGGCGGCCGGGGCCCCCGCGGGTGCCCACACGCTGCGTCCCGAGTCGGAGGCCGTCCCGAGAGCAGCCTGGCACCCCTGCCCGGCTCCCCAGAGGGCCAGGCCGCACGGGGACGCCGGGCCGGGCGCCTCGCCCCTTGCAATGTGCTCTGTGATGCACACACCAAGTGAGGGTGGCCGGTTTGTGTCCCGGGAGAGGACTGTCTTCCCGGCCCCCCAAGTCCCACACGGGGCCCCCCTCGCCATCGGCGCGGGCCCTGCGGGCGCCCGGCACCTGCTGACCTCTGAGCCGTGGGCGTCCGGAGGCCGGGCCAGGGGCCGGCCCGCGGTGCTGGCTGGAGAAGGCTCACCGTGACCCCCTTCTTGGGGCATCGCAGTCCCAAAGACCAGCCCTGGGCAAACACTGTGGGGAGGCGCCGCCTCTGCGGCCGTTCTGGGGTGGGTGGGTGGGGTCAGGGCCCCACACGCACCCGCCCCGGCGTGGAGAATGGACTCCTGGCCACAGCCGGCCCTGGCGCTCACTGGCAGGAGTGCCCCCGCTGCGGGGTGTCGGCGACCTGCCCCGCTGCCGGCGTCTGAGCAGGCCCGAGCGCCCGGCGGGCCCAGCTCTGGGCTCGGGGCCTCTGCCGCTGGGTGTGGTGCTCAGGGGCAGGTCCTGCTTCAAGGAGAAAGGCGCGAGCCCGGGCTCCGGTTTCGCCCAGGCGGACGCTTCCTCTCCGGGGTCCCCGGAGGTGGTCGGCGGCTGCAAACACAGCCGCGGCCTCAGGAAAGCGGTGCCTGGCCCGCGAGAGGCCCCGCCTCCCACGGGACAGAGGGCGGCGTACCCGGTGGCCGTCCGAGGCAGGAGGGAGGAGGGGTGGCACCTGCATGTTCGAATGTCCTACTTTGGATGTTGTTCGCGTCCGGTTTGTGTCTGGGCCCCTTCCCTGGTCCAGCTGCCTCCCCTCCCAGCATCCTCGGGGGTCCGGAGCCGGGAGGCGGCTGAGTGCCCACCTTCCCACACACCTGAGTGTCCTTTGTGTTAACTTATTGGTCCCGGAGGGTGCTGGCCGTGTCCTCGGCTGTGGGGCCGCACCTGTGTGGGTTTTAGTGCCAAATACTTCAATAAAGTCTGTTTTCTGTGACCGGCCGAGCTGACTGGGTGAAGGTTCTTTTGCGCCGAGCAGCTCCGCCCGGCCCTCGGGGTGGCCGCGTGGCCCGGTCCTGGGCAGCCCTGGGCAGGAGAGCCTCGCGCCACCTGCTTCCCCGGCAGGCTGGGAGCGGGGCTGCCCGGCGGTGGTCGGCGGTGAGTGTGGCTCAGCCTCGGCTCCTCTGGCCGGTCCAGGAGGCCCTGCTGCCCCGTCCGCAAAGCTGGACAAGGGGGAGCGTCCGCGGGGCCCTGGGCGGGGGGGGGGGGCTGAACAGCCTCCCCCGTCTCCAGGACAACAGAGGGGGAGGGGCGCTCCTGCCAGGCCCCGGCCGCCCTGCCCGCCCTGCAGGGGTCGCCCCGACGCGGGGGTGGGCGTGGAGCCCATGGGGCTGTGGTGCCCCCCGGAGGAGCAGGGCTCCTGCCTGCGGCCGAGGCGCCCGCACGTCAGGTAGGGGGTCCCGCCTGCCCCCTCCCAGCCGCAGCGGGGGCCGGCAGTGCAGCCTCGCGCCCTGTGGTGCCCAGCCCTGGAGGCTGGGGGTCCCTGGGGCTCGGGGCCGGCCCTCCGAGGCCCGGGGTGTCCGTCCCGGGGGGAGGGGAGCCAGCGCCGTCTGAGCCGTGGACACGGGCGCTTGGTTAAGCATCTTAGACTCTGTGACAAGTGGGGACCCCGGTGTCGGGGACGCCTTGGGACGGCAGCTCCCAGCCCCAGGACGGTCTGGGGCCAGCCCAGAGGAGCGGGGACGGGGATCCCCACGTGCGGGGCGCCTAAGGGGCGGTCGTCTGGGGGCCCCGAGCGCAGGGCGTGGCGAGCTGGGTCAGGCAGGGGTTCCTGGCCCGCAGCCCGCTCCCTCGGGGAGCAGGCCGCGGGGGCCCCGTCCCAGGGCAGCCGGGGTTCCGAACGGGGGACGCGGGGCCTCGGTGGCAGGGCTCGCAGGGCACAGGGTGAACACAGGACGGGGGAGGTCACGTCTGAGTCCGAAATGTCCCCTGCACGGGGGGGCGGCCCCCAAATGGGAGACCCCTGGGAAGCCGGGGCACATCGGGCCCTGCAGGGGGCCCCGAATCTTCCCACGGGGAGGGACAGGGAAGCCGGTGCTGCGGCCCAGCGCCCCCCCACCCGGCCCAGCCACCTCCCGTCCCCGACAGGACCAGGGCCTGCCTCCTGCGTCTGTGCCCCCCGTTGTGGACCAGCTGCGTCCCCCGAAAGGAGCGTTGTGCCCGGCCCGGTCCCTGCGGTCGTTGGAAGCGGTGGAGCACCGCCCCGCGTGCGCAAATGAACCCCAACCCCAACAGGCAAAAACCAAACCAAGTGACCTTCAGGCCGCCCGCTGAGCGTGCCCCCTGGAAGCCCAACTGGACGGGTGAGCCGCGGGCCGGCTGGGCTCCCGTCACGGCGGCAGCTCGGAGGCGACGGCAAGGGCTGTGCCTCCTCAGTCCCCTCCGAGCTCCGCCGGCCTGTCCCTCTGCCGACCGGCCGCCAGGGAGCCCGGAGCCCGGAGCCAGGCGGGGACAGGACCCTGCCGGCTCCGCCCACGTGCGACCCCTCCCGGCCCCGCAGCCCTCGATCGGCGTCTGAGTTCCGGGTTCTAGCGAGTCTCCGCTTGGATGCCTGGCCGGGGTCTCAAGCGGTTCTATTTTAGCTTTTGTTTTATTTTTTGAAAATCCTCCCCCGAGGGTACGTTTGTTGATTTTAGAGAAAGGGGAAGGGGAGAGAGGGAGGGGAACTTCAACGCAAGACAAAGGCCCGTCTGCCGCCCGCTGTCCGTACCCACGGCCAGTCGAGCCCGCAGGCCAGGCCTGTGCCCTGGCCGGAATCAGACTCACAGCCTTTCGGTTTACGGGACGACGCTCCAGCGTGCTGAGCCACACCGGCCAGGGCAGGGGTCTCAGGGTCAACGCGTCCCAAACGTCCCTCCCGGCCCCACACCCGCCGCACACCCCAGCTGCTGCGGCTCGGCCCTTCTGTTCCTCCGGCCAGCCTCACTTCGGCCTGTCCCTCAGGCTCCGCTCCTGCCCGTCGCCGGTCTTGCGGGCCCCACCTCAGGGTGGACGCAGCGCCTGACCCCTCGCGACCGTAACAGACCGTGACCGCCATGCCTGCGCTGAGCCGAAACGGGGCTGCGATCCGCTCGGGGTGGCTCCTGCGACAGTCACAGAGCCTGTCTGCCGTGCCCCCTGGCTGCACAGACAGGAAGAGGAAGCGGAGGCCTTTAGTTGCCAACCGCCACAGGGCGATGGAGGGGAAGCCCTGAGCTTTGAACTTGGTGGTTTGACCTTTAACTGCCGACCTGCGGCTTCAAGCCCCGCCCCAGGGCACACCTTTGCAGGCCCTCGAAGTGGGTCCACGTCGCCACCGCCTCCACCCCCTCCCCCGATGCCCCTGGGGGTGGAGGGGCTCTGGTCCTGGCCTCACCCCTGAGCCGCCTCAGGGTGCACGCCCGAGTCCCTGCTCGGGGCGGCTTGCCCAGCGGCGGGGCTCCCAAGGCTGATTTGGGGTTCGAAGCCCGTTCACTCGCCTTCAAGAATTTCAAAGCCCATGCGGGACAACTGAAGTAGTTTGGGGTTCCAGGGGGTGCTCGCAGGTCTCCCTCTTTCCAACCTTCCGCCGCTGGCCCTGCCTGATCGGGAAAACCGCTTCACCTGCATCGCTGCCTTTCCCCGGGGGCTGCTGAGGCCCCCAGGGGGCCGCGGGCCCGGAGAAGCCGGCTCTCGGACCGGGACCGACGCCCAGGGCCCCGCCGGCCGCGGAGCCTTCTCGGCAGAGGCCAGCGGGGCGGGGCGGGGCGGGGCGGCTGCGGCTGCGGACGCCGCAGCCGGAGCCAACGACGTCCCCTTGCAGGACTGCGCCAGTCAGAGAAACAGGCCTACGGGCTCATTCTGGATTGTCTAGAACAAGAGGACATGGTAAGGAAATTCTCGGGGACGTGTGAGAGCTGAGCGGGAAAATGGGGCGACAAAGGAGGCTCCCACCTCCTGGGTTCCGCCCGCGGGCGCCCCTGGCCTGGGCCGTCCCGGTGGCCGGGCCACAGGGTGGATCCGTATGAGAGGACGTCCTCATAGAGCCTGAGCCCCATTGTCCCCAGAGGGGGCCAGGACACCTGTCCCGGGGCCAGAGCACGGCGCCGGCCGGCCGGCCGGAGGGCTGGGCTGGGCGTGAGCGGCCCAGGCGTCCCCGTAGGGAGTGCGGGGCCAGGCCCTGGTGTGTTCTGCCCCAGGCCGAGCCCGACAAGCTCCAGTTCCTGCGGGCCGTGGACACTCTGTGTGGCGCCGTCCGCGCCCAGGCCGGCGGCACCATGAACGACTACTTACCCAAAACCGTTCTGGCCAAGACCATCGAGGTGAGAAAGACCAGCTCTCCGGGCGGGGGGCGGGGGGCGGCAGGTCCCGGTCCTGGGTTCAGCATCTCTCCGGTGGGGACTCGTTTTAAAAAACAGTTGTATTTACGTTGAGAAGTGGGGGAGGGAGAGAAACATGGGTGCACACGGACGGGCCGCCTCTCACGCGCCCCCCGCTGGGGACCTGGCCTGCCGCCCAGGCAGGTGTCCTGCCTGGGAATCGACCTG